CTTTTTTCTTTTTGCTTATGTGGTGCTGAGGAATCGAACCCAGGGCCTCAGGCATGCAAGGCAAGCGCTCTACCACTGAGCCACCTTCCCAGCCCTATTTTATTTTATTTTTTGAATATGGAACACTTCACAGATTTTCATGTCATCCTTGCTCAGGGGCCATGCTAATCTTTTCTGTGTTGTTCCATTTTAGTATATTGGCTTGACTATGCTCTTGCTTGATGTTTTTGCTCAACACTGGCATTCTGCCACTTGAGTTACATATCCATTTCTGGCTTTTGCTGATTAAATGAAATAAGAATCTTAATGGACTTGGGGCTCGGAAGATGGCTCAGTGGAAGAGCCCTTGCCTTGCATGCCGGAGGCCCTGGGTTCGATTCCTCAGCACCACATAAGCAAAAAGAAAAAAGCCGGAAGTGGCTCTGTGGCTCAAGTGGTAGAGCACTAGCCTTGAGCTGAAGAGCTGAGGGACAGTACCCAGTCCCAGAGTTTAGGCCCCACGACCGGACCCCCCCCCAAAAAAAAAAGGAATCTTAATGGACTTTTCTGCCTGGGCTGGCTTTGAACTGTGATTCTCAGATCACAGCCTTCTGAATAGCTAGGATTATAGGTATGAGCCACTGACACAGGGCTGTATGCCTGTGTTTTTATTGTTTGATAATTTTTACCATGTTGAGAGAGGTAGAGGAGGACAATGGAAGAGGAGACATTACACTTATAAACTGGTATGTTGAATTAGAAATCCCTTTGTATAACTACTTAAAGATAATATTTAATTAAAAATTTTAAAGTGTATTAAATAAAAACAAGCTGGAGCAATGCAGTAAAGGACACGAGAGAAAACTTGACACTGCCATACTGGGGCCTCACATATGTTAGGCAAGTGCTTGAACAGTTGAGCTATGTACACCTCCTAGTTTTTGTTTTTTACCCTCTTTAATCTGAGGCTTTGACATAGTCCATGCTTAATGCTGTCCATGTTGTTGCTTGGCTTTCTTGCTCTTGGCTAGCACTTGACCACTTGAGCCATGCCTCTAACCTGGCTTTTATTGCTCCTTAACTCTGAAGTAATTGGGATTATTGGTGTGTACTACCATGTCTGGGATTTGTGTGTGTGTGTGTGTGTGTGTGTGTGTGTGTGTGTGTGTGTGTGTGTGTGTGTGTGTGTGT